CCATTTATTATAACATTTTTAGTTAGTGTTTTATTTAGTTTTTTTTATTTTAATCATTTATTTTAATATTAAATTTTTATGATTTGATTTTTTTGTCAGTATTTTGTTTTATTTTAATACTATGGATTTTAATTGTGTATTTTTATAATTTAATTACTAATAGTATTTCATTTGCATTAAAATTTAATGTCCAGTGTTTTATTTTTGTTTTGGTTTAAGTTAGTGTTTTCATTTTATTCTTTTAATAATTTTTCATTTTTATGATTTCATTAATGTTTTTTTTTAATTTTTTTTATTTAAAGTTATTTGTTATCATTTAACCTTGATTTTTAGGCTAGCCTTTCCTAACGTCAGTAAAGTAGAAGTAGAATGTGATTTGTGACACAGCTGCATGTTAATTTCTGTGTTCTACAAGAAAACCGCGTTTATCCACAGTGTGAACGTGACAGCAGAGTCAGATGTTTCAGTTGGATCTTCTCGTAAGGTGACCTCCAGCGATGCTGATGAGGAGCGTGTCGTGCTGAAACGGCTCCCGTTCACCTCATGGCCTTCTCCCGCAGGCTCGAGCAGGTGTCGAGCGCTCCTGAATCAGTCACGGAGCCATTTCTCCCGCCTCAGCGCAGATGCACACTCGCCATCTGTGAGTCTTACAGGCTTTCTGATGATGGAGCTGCTGAAAGAGCGACTCACTGCTGCTGAAAACCACAGCGTTTTTATTCTCTTAAAGTTACACGAGTGCCATTTGAGCCCCGTCTGAACTTTCTAGAATGCGTGCTTGAGCTCGTTTTCTTCACATCTGCATCTCAGTCATTTGCGTTAAATTCAAGTCCAAATGTTAGATTTTTAAAGATTTATTTTTGGCATTTTTGCCTTTATTGTGATAGGATAGTTTAAAGCTGACAGGAAACGAAGTAGGAGAGAGACGGGGGCGGGATCAGTCCTGGAACCTGGGATTCGAACTCGGGACACGCATGGTGCAAAGGCGCTGTATGGCGCAATAAGAATACGTGTATCATTCATTCGTTTTTTTTTTTATTTAATATTGAAAGTAAAAAAAATCGAAAAAACGGCTCCTTTTTCGTTTGTTTTTTATTTTAAAATGTTTTGCATTTTAAATTTTTATGATTTAGTCATTAGCTTTTAAAGCTAATAATTCACACTAAGAAAAGTGTGAACTGTGTAACTGTAACGGAGGCCAGCGAGTAAGTGCTGTGCAGGTAAACCTAGCGACTGATGCTAGATGCTGCAGTCTTTAGCCTCCTTGTTAGTGCGTCCGCCTCTCATGCCGGAGACCCGGGTTCAAGACCCACTCGGAGCGAGAATGAGGTGTTGCGGACAGGACCCGGGAGAGAGAGGTTACATTGGTGCCGTGACCCGGATGGGAGTGAGGTTTAGGGGGGTGAGTGTAACGGAGGCCAGCGAGTAAGTGCTGTGCAGGTAAACCTCACTCCCCTGATCTCAAGAGACGCACTAGAGACTGACGCTAGAGGCTGCAGTCTTTAGCCTCCTTGTTAGTGCGTCCGCCTCCCATGCCAGAGACCCGGGATCGAGACCCACTCGGAGCGAGAACGAGGTGTGGTGGTGAGGACCGGGTGGAGAGGGGTTACATAACTTTTTTAAAGAACAGTTCAAAGCGTGACCGATTCAACTCTGTGGTTTGCTGCGTTTAATCGGGAGCGAGTGACCAGTGAAATCGCCGCTTGCTTAAATAAATGGACGAGTTGCAGCGCTGATGCAGCTCAACATCAATTGAATGCGGTTCTTTTGAAGTTCAACACACAAACATCAATGCGAGGAGATGCTGCACAGAAAACACAAGTTTTAGAGGTTTTAGGAGGAAACTTAAGTCCAGCATTTCGAGCAGGACCCACAGGACCCATCGGAGATCGGGTTGAATGTCTGTCCTGGTTTATGGGTTCAAGCATCTGAGATTGTTTGTTCTTAGAATGATTAAAACAGAGTCCGGGTGTTGTTGTTCTGTGTCTGTGATCAGATCAGCGAGTTTCTGTAAAGCGGAGCTCACGTACGCTTGTGGAGAGATGTACACACTGATGAGAATGAACGAACAAAACTCTCTCAGCAAATAGAATGGCTTACAGTTAATGAAAAGCGCTTCCAGATCAGGACAGCACATATTCTTTAACACTGTTATGTCTGTACACCACCTCTCATTGATGTAAAAGCATGTCCCGCCGCCGCGTGATTTCCCCGTTGATTCTGCGTCGCGATCCGCTCTGAACA